GTACTGCTGTCTCCTGGTGGCCATTTGTGGCGCCTGACGCAGTGACAATGAGGGGCTGGAGTTTTACAGGTGACCAATCGTGGGTTCAAGTCTTGACTGGATGTGATGTACTCTTCTTTCCAGCTGTGTGACAACCGCCGCACCTCACCCTCCTCGCCTACTCCCCAAGTCAAATGCATCCGTCTCAGAGCCCTTGAGCACAGCACCGGGGCTGAGGGCAGCGTCCCTACCTGGGTAAAGCTGGGGGTCACTGTGCCATGTAAATCGTGAGGAGGAGGTAAGTCAGGGCCCCACAGCAAGCAGGACTTGTAGGGAGGTGTGGCTCTGCTGGGGTGGTGGACCAGAGCCTCAGGGGTGTGTGTGGGAGCCTGCGCTTGGAGAATCAGCCATTGCACTAGCTGGGAAACTGAGGCAAGCAAGGCCGGGGCTCCCATGATCAGTTTGGATCCTGTAACTGGCACACACTCCCTCATGACTTTCCCAGTGCTTTCACTGTAATGCCTGGACTTTTTTGCTGCTGCACATTCCAGCAGAGAAGCCAGTCTGGAGAGAGAATGAAGGGGAGAGAGAAAGGTAGGAAGCTTTCCACTTCTTCCAGCCCCTTGAGACTCCACCTTCCTCCTTCCATGCATTTCCATGAGACAGCCTTGTAAGACGGTCCCCCTTTTCTTAAGCAAACTAGAGTGGGTTTCTGGTTTTTGCCTAACATCTTGAACTCCCCCAACATATCTTTTCAGACCTGGATCCCATCACTCCCCCAAATCCTTTATTCAGTGAGACTCGGTTGGCTGCTTCTCCCAACTTCATCTTGCTCCTTCTCCTTTCTGTCTTCCTGCCTCCCCCGCCCTCCATGTGTTCAGCAGTCTCTGAAATGAATCTCCAAATGCCCCGGTCTCCTCCCCAGATCCTCCATCTCCCTCCCTGAGTGCCCAAAGCACTGACTCTGTCCCTTCCTGAAAGCATTGCTCCCATGTGTCATTTATGTTCTAGTAACCTCTAAGCTGGGCTCTGAGTGCCCTAGACCTCCTTGATCTCTGTATCTGGCGCAGCCATGGTTTACTAAGTGAATGCACGTGAATAATAAATTGAGCAATGTTCATTGGAAAACACATTTAATTTCAAAGTAAACAAAGATGTTTGTACATTAAAGTATTTAATTAGTGAAACAATTATCAGTGTAACAAGCTGAAAAATACAGCAACTTGATACAAGACTGAGGTAACAAAATACTTCACCAAAAATCTAAAGAATCCCACTGAGGGCTGATGTTCAGTGGTTATTGTGGGTGAGACAATTCACAAGAATTAGAGAAAGTCCTCACACAACTGCATGCGGGGGGGCGGGGGATCTGCTGGAAAAAAAAGACAGCCCAGGAGAGTGCAACAGATTTAACAAGAAACAAATTAAAATGTAGAAACTGATTTTCAACTTACTTTGAGGAATACATAAGAAATTGAAAACTACTCTCTACACAACATTTTGAATGCTAAGTGAAAAACCATGCATTTTGGCACGAAATTTATTAAAGATTATACCATACTAATAAATTAATTACTAATATTTCATTACCGAATGGTCACAGTCGTTCAGAAATGGGTAAAGAGAAGAACAATTATAGAACGGACAGATGATCCTTCGCGTTGCTGCTGCAAACAGGGATTTCGGGGCTGCCCCCAGCGTACCCACCCTTGTGCCGCACAGGACTCTGAGGTGGTCCATGGTACAAGTTCTCAACACCCGTGAAAATGCAGCTCTTGCTCATGCTGTACTTGCATTTAGCATTGAAATTAAAACTAAAAAAGCCTCTGGAGTAAATACTGTGAACATTCTGACCCTACTCTCTCATTCCATCTCAGAGTCCTCCACAGCATGCCCGACCAAAGCTCTGTGCCTGGGTGTTCTGCGACAACCAACCTCTAGGACAGCGACTGCATCTAGTTCTCCTTGCAACTGAACTCACCGATCAAGAGGCTATTCAGTCTGGGGAGCGTTCTGAAACCTTTCCGGAGAATGTGCACAGGGTTTCTACCCAGTGTTAGGAGAGAGGCAGGGTCTTGCCGGAGGAGATGCCATGGTGAGGACTATTTGTTCGTTGAGTGTGGTCAGCTCCACGAGGGCAAGCATCAACTCTGCTTGTCCTCAGCCATTTACAGTATATCCCGGGTAGAGCCTGGCACACAGGAAGCACTCACTGGAGTCATGAATGAACGAATGAATGAATGCATGAATGGGTGATTTTGCACAGAGAATGTTATTTCCAGGGGACTCGTGTAGTTTTTTTTTTTTTTTTTCTATTTGAAACATGAAATCACACAACATGTCAGTATGATGTGAGGCTGGTTAAAGCCATTTATGAAGTCACGCAAAATAAGTTAGGTTGTGTTTTTAGCAATGTTCACCCTGTTACAAGCATTAGTAATGTGGGTGCAGAGCTGTAGACCCCACCTGTTGAATGAAATCAGACCCGCTTGCGAAAGGCTTCCCATTTTCATGGATCGTTCTCCACTTGTAAAATGGTATCCTAAAAGATACATGTCTTGGGCTTGGGAGGTGGCAGAGGAAGATGATGAAAGAAATACTGGCCATCTTGGTAAGGAAAAAAATGCTTTATAAATTCAGTTGGCAAGAGAGAGTGGGTTCTTTCCTAAACAGAATGCCTTCAAGTATCTTCCTGTTTAGGTTCCATTGCGAGAAAGGGTGATGAATGGGTGTCTTCAGGGAAGGAAAGGGAGGCTGCACTCTCTCACTGGCACACTCAGAACACTATTTCTACTGCTCCCCACTGAATCAATCCTCCATGAAGCACTTCAGTTGTCAGAATTCACTTGGCTGATCTTGAGTTATAAAACATGTTCCAACTGAGAGGGGCAAAAATTATTCCCAGGGAGAGGTGCATGAGGCTCTTGGGGCATCATAATGATACCAACTACCTATTCCATGATTTTGTAGACAGCATTCTGTAATTTTCATTTTGGGGCACCATTATCTGTTCGCTCAAAAGAAAAAAAAAAAAACGAAAAACCAACAACCAGCATATGCATGCAAGACATATCACCTTTGATGGTTTCACAAACATTGGTGCATTATGGACAGTCAAAGCGCAAAAACCAGAAAGGCTTCCCTCCAGGGTGAGAATCCACCCATGGAGTTCTCCCTTTTGGGGTTTGTACCTGGCCTCCTCTGTGCCAGCCTGAGGGCCTCCTCACCCACTGTTTGAGGGACAAACCAATGGCGGGAAGATAATCAGCACTTAAATGCTTGGCCCCACGTCCCATCTAGGACAGCCCAGCATCTTTCGGCCTGTCTCCAGGACCCTTCCGGTACATTCGAGGTTCTTACCAGCTCTAAAGGCCTTTGCCAACAAGGTCTAAGCAGATTCTTCAAGAGTCCAAGCTAAGAATGTTTCTAGGAGGGGATGTGGGATCAGTCTCAGTCAGTGAGAAGACTAAACATTTTGCATTTTGAAAAGAATTGCAATTGTGCTATCTCAAGTTCAGCTCAGAAGAAAATTTTTGCAAAAGATAAGAAAAATGTGTAAAGGGCAAAAAATGCGCTGACTGAAGGGAGCCTGAAATTCTGAGGTTCTTGGATTGGCATCTATAGTATTTCATGCGAGAAGAGCCAGGACAGTTGAGAAGTGGAGAAACCCAAGGAAAATAAGTAGCTGATTTTCTAGTCTTGCGCTTTCCTCCGAACTTAAGACTTCAAAAAATATTAACAGGTAGAATCAGATCAGTGTAGGTTAAAGCGTTAACACTGCATGGTTCTGGTGAGAGGTGTTGGAGTGTTTGGTGTTTTCATTCGGCCTCTGGATGCCCATTTGAGTAGTCATTGGTGTGAACTGGGTGCGAGCATCCAGCCCCCCAGCTGTGCATGGGTGTGCAGAGCACTCACGGCCAAGATTGGATGGCACTAACTATACCACCACCTGGAGCTTCTCCTGGCACAAAAGTATTCTAGACTTTGCTCCTTTGGAGGGTTAGTTGCTGAGCACATTAAGCCTCGACCATAAAATAAGACCCTGACGGCAACTACTTTCCTCACCAATTCATTGGAATTTTCAGGAAAGTTGTCACCGTTTGGTCAAAATACAGTGGTGGGTCCTTTGGTAGTTTTAAAATTCACCTATCACACTTTACTGGTGAAGATGTTGTTTTGAAGCATCTTGCCCAGAAACTTAAGGGTGATTTGATGTCTGATCAGTGTGAGCTCGGAAACCATGACAGCAACAAGGACCCAGGAATTCAGAAAACCCTTTCAGGGTTTCCTTCTCAGAATTCGGACACCCAGACTAGAGAGGGAGGGAGGGAGAGAAGGTATGGTGATAAAGCTACCATAAATAAAGCTAACTTTTGTTCTTTGTTTTGAATAAAGATGTATTTGTGCAAAATAAAAGCCACTTAAAAGACAGACAGTGACAGATCAAGGACATTGTCCATGTGAAGAGTGCTTAACTGAATGCAGAGCTGGGACCATTCACTCCCCAGGGCTTTGCTCTCTTGTCACCATGGTCATCAACAATTGTGCCCTTGGACTTGGATGTGGAGAGCTTGCTGGTGACTGCGTTTGGGGGCAAGACTGGGGGAGCTTAAGGCCTCAGTGTCACTCAGCTCCCCGGTGGAACCAGGAATCCCAGCGGGCCCCGCCCTGGCAGTAAATGATGGGAGCAAAGCCTTGGCCTGCAGGAGGGGCTGGTGCACAGTGGCTTCTGTGCGTGAGCATGGCAGCCTCTGGGTGCTTCCTAGGAAGTCGGGAGAAAGTGTCATGACTTCCCTCTCTGGCATGGTCTGGGACTGGGGTGGAGGGGGAGAAGACACGGGCTTTCAGACCCTGCAGGAGAGGGGCAGGAGGGAGCAAGCAGGCCAGCCCAGTCCACAGTCCTGAAGCCGGGTCCTGTCTCAGAAGAGCCAACAGCAACAAGGCCTGGAAGGGACCCGGGGGGCCCAGAGAGCAGGCCTTCCAGATGAATAGCACCCATTGGAACAGAAAACAAGACACAATTTAAGGCATTGTTTGTTTACAGTAAAAGAATGCAAGGAACCCTTAACATAGGAGGAATCTGGGCTCTCACTCTGACCTTCCTCAGTGGACAAGGCTATCACGTCAGGTTAAAGCAGGGCCTCAAAGCGAATGAAGGGTGTGATGTCACAAGTCTTGTGCCAAAATGCATGTTTCATGAAGAGTTCACACTCGCTCGCACGCACACGTATACGGCACGCACACGCAGAGGACGCTTTGGGGGTTGTACAAAATCTGAGGCAGCCCTGTGGGCGAGCGACCCCATGCACTTGGGGTATAAAAAGCCAACTCCATAGCCTGTTCCTTCTCTCTGGCCCCTCATGCAGGTTAACACTGTCCACTCTTGTGCAGGAGAAAGCACGGGAGACCCAACGTGGGCCAGATGCTCTCTAGTCGAAGCAGCGGCTGGTGGACGGATGAGGGCCCAGAGAGGGAGGGTGGGGTGCACAGTCTGGGGCCCAACCATGGCCCTGCGGGGTGGTGCTGAAGAATGAGTGTCATGAGAGTTGCTGGGGATTGGCAGGTGGACCCTGCACTGGCGGAGCCCTCTGGTCTGTGAGGCCACAGGCCAAGTCCCCTTGAGTCCAGCCGTGAGTCACCCAGCATCCTGGCCAAAAGCCTGTGCCCAGGACGTGCGCTTTGCCACCAGTCCCAGGCTGGGCTCCCAGAAGCCTCTGAAGTCACGCCAAGTCCCGCAGAGACTTATTCAAATGACATAAGGTTTGCAGGTACCTGGAAGAGAAAGCTCGGCCTCTTGTCAAAGTTCCAACCTTTCGGAATGGGACGAAGGGTGCCCCTAAGGGAAGGGATCAGGTCTTTCCCAGTGAGTCTGCGAATGAGCGGGGTGGGTGGGTAAGAGGGCCTGGCAAGAAACACGGCCGCTGTTTGTCAAGTGGTCGCTGTGTGCCAGGCACCTGCCATCATCGTGTCCTTTGGTCCGCACGACACCCCAGGAGGCAGGTTTGGGAAGTGTCCCCGTGACAAAGATGAGGACCCTGAGGCTTAGAGAGGGGAAGCCCACTTCGAGTAAATGGCAGGCCACGGCCTCAGGGCCCACGCTCTCTTGTTCACTAGGCTGGTGGCAAAATAAAACTGCACTTGGAACGGAGAGGAGGCAAATTCTGCAGGAATGGGCATGAGCCTCTGGAAGGGAAACCAGCGGGCAGGGGTGGGTGGTGAGGGGGTGGCAGGAACTGACAAGAGGGAGCACCAGGAGGAGCGATCAGGACGCTGGGAACCCCAAAGCCTTCCCAGAGCTGTGTCCCCAGGACATGATCCCTTTGCTGGGGAGACCTTTCCTGGGGAGACCACCAGCCCAAGGTCAGGGTGCTTCCCTCCCCCTTCAAAGCTGCCCCCAGCCCCAGGCTCCCCCACCCGGCTCTGCTATAGGGTTCCAGGAGATTTGATGCGAAGCAATTTCATCAAAAACTAATCCATCTTAGTGTCAATTTGGTCAAAGTGATGAATTGGGAAAAAATGCATCTCCTTGCACCAGGAGATAGTTATAAGAATGGTCACAGCAGCACTGTTCAAAATAGCAAAAAGCAGGAAATTATTCCTGGGATCACTGCCAGAAGAATTAATAAAAAAAATATCAGTACAAATACATGAATGACAGCTACACACATTGACATAGATGAATCTCGGGAACACACTGTAGGAGAAAAGCAAGTCACGGAAGAAAATAACCAGTTATGGTCCTATTTTTTAAAAATGTTTTTAAAAATGTACCCCAGACAATACATTAAGGAATCAAATACACATGCTAACATTTTAAAGGAACAGTAAATAAATCAGGAGAGTGGTTAGGAGGTGCAGGCAGGTGGGTGGGACACAGAATTAGGAAGAGGCCCCTGGGGGAGGGAGGTGCTTTGAGGCCCAGGGAGGTCCTGCCCTTAGGCTGGGTGGGCAAGGAGCTGGGTGTGGTTTTTTCCGCTGCGGTTTACACCTTACACATGTTATCAATAAGGTTTAAGCGTATTCGGTGTCAGTACAAACAATTTTAAGAAGTGCAAGTCTACCAAAAAGAAAACTAATCCCAGTCACTGAGATTTTCCATGGGAGTAGATGCATTTCTGTGATTTCTTTCATTGCAGCCCCTGCATGCCATCACAGGGATGTGCTGTGCTTTATTTAAATAGTCTGCTTGGAAGAGTTAGCTGTTGCCAACTTTTTATGATCACATACAGCATAGAGCAGAATACGTGGTTGAAAGTAAATTCGAAATGGAAGGGGAAAAAACGTAGAAAAAAATAAAAGGTCCCTCTCGCTTAGGTCTAAAAATCGGACAAAAATACTTAAAAGTTGCAAAACTTTGCCATGGCATACCGCATTTGCCATCCATGAAATTCAATCTATTTGTTCTTCTGACCAAACACCTGCTCTGCCAAATGGGTTTGACCCAGTTTCCTGCTACCCGCTGTATATCACTTTAGGAATTTTATATACAGAGGCAAACATACATATTATAAATATGCTTATGTATTTTAATACAAACGAGATCACCCTTACATATGTTTTACCCTTTGCTTTTTAAAATTTTTTTATTTTTTTAAGTAATCTCTGTGCCCAACGTGGGGCTCAAACTCATGACCCCGAGATCAAGAGTTGCATGTTCTACTGACTGAGCCAGCCAGGCGCCCCTATACTTTGCTTTTTACTTATATCTTGGAGCCCCTTTCAGGGTACCATACACAGATCTGCTTCTGTCCTTCTAATCACTACCAGGAGTCACACAATAGGGATTTACTGATGGTCACAGAGGTTTCTAGTTTTCTCTATCAAGGACAATGCTGCAGTGAACATTTTTTTTAAGTAGCCTTCACACCAAAGGCGTTTGAACTCATGACCCTGAGATTAAGACTTGAGCTGAGATCAAGAGTCGTACGCTTACCTGACTGAACCAGCCAGGTGCCCCTGCAGTGAACATTAACCACACACCTTTGTGGACATGTGTGAGTCTATCACCAGGACAAATTCCTAGCAGGCAGATGGGTGAGTAAAGCGACTCAAATACAGTTTATTTTGAGCTTTTCTGTGGTACCTCACATTTTCCTTTTTTCAGTCTTTCCTAACTGTTTTAGTTTGTTGAGAACTTTTTACTAATTCTGCTTTCTAGCTTTCCATCATCTATAATCTGACCAGCTTGTCACGTATGTTCTCATGTGATGTTACAGATGAAAATCCTGATTAGGACCAAACCGAGACCTCCCTCTGATCTCCGAGAACCACTCGGAGGGGCCCAAAAGTCCGTGACTGTGCTGTCACTAGCATCCTCCCCGACCCAAATGCCTGGTGTGTGCCAGCCTTTGCTGAGGCCCTCCTCACACCTCAGAGCTGGTGCCTCCCAGCTGCTACCCACCAGAAGCTGCCATAGCCTACTCTCAATTTCTGGTGCTTGCTGGGTCCCCAGGTGGAGAGGGACCCACTCCGCAGTGCCTTCTTCTGGCTGATCCCTGGAGAACGTGCACAGGGAAGCTTAGGGACAGGAATGCCAATCCTGGCACCAGCAGCCAAATGCTGACTCCCAGGGGCAGGAACGTCCAGCCTGCCCCATTGGGTGCTGAGGGCTGAAGCAGCCATGCCTCTCAGCAGTCTGACAGCCGAGGCTGCGCTCCAGGCCTTTAGCTCGACTGCAGGAGGCTGAGCGAGCTCGGGGCCCTCTGGGAAGTGCGAGGCAGGGGAGCTAGGGACAAGTATAGACTTTGGTGGCCGGCCGACCGGGGTTAGATCTCATTAACCTTGGCATCTTGAACAAGTGCCTGCCACTCTCTGAGCCTCAGTGTCCTCAGCATAGAATGGAGACAGTAAAAGAAATATGCCTCACAGGGGTGTTGGGAGGATTTGGCCAATTCCGGCATGTAAAGCATTTCCGATAATGCCTGGTCCTGGGCAGGGCACAGATCGGAGGTCCTGCTGGCTGCTCAGATACACTGAGGACCAGCCATGTTTGGCTCTCAATATTAGCAAATAGTATTATTCCTAGGGGTTGTGGGGCAGGGAGGCCCTATTGTCAGTCTGGAGTACGCCCACGAATCAGCTTTTGGGGGACATGGTTTAAATGGATGCTATATCCTGATCCTTGGGGCGATCTCGCACCTGCCACCACACTGTGCCTGATGGATGTTTTGGTGGTGTTTGCCTTAGTGGGAAAGACACAGGGACCAGATTCACAGTTCTGGTCTGGAGCCAGGCTTAGTTCTAAGCTGAGCAGAGCCCTGTCTCATGGAGAAAAGGTTGCTCAAAAGACGGTGCCTGGGAGCACAGCTGATAGGCTCTGAGGGAAGGAAGGAGCCCTGTTTTCTACGGACTCTTAGTCCCTAGGACGGGGAGAGGATATTTCCAGAGACATGCACGGTTTCAGTGACTTTACCTGAGGCCTGTTGCTTTTACATGCATCATCCAAATGCTTGTGCCACAGTATTGCATGAAACCGGGAACCAGTCTGGAACTTGTAAACATTGCCTGACGGGCAGAGAAACCATTGGTTAGGAAGAGGGAGGGTCTCATGGGAGGGTCTGCCTGTGACTGGGACATGAAGATAAACATGAACTTAGGTTAACTAAACCAAGGAAGGTCAGGAGCAGTCCAAGGTAAGCTTGGGGCTTGCAGGGGCAGAACCTCTGCTGCCTCTGGGCTGTCTCTGTGGACCGGGGCTCTTAACCATTTTTGGGGCCATGGTGCATTTGACTCTGGTGAGGCCTGTGGACCCTTCTCAGAATAACATTTTCAAAATGCATAAAATAAAATACAAAGGAGATCAATACCACCAAAATGCAGTTATCAAACTACTAAAAAACACTTGAGTGATACAGTTCTAGGTGTGCTTCTCTATTTATGCACCAGTAACAAGATCTAGGGGCAGGTCTGACACTGTACTGTAATTCCAGAGAGATGAGCAGAAATGCCACTCTGAGAAATCTGCAACTATATGCGATAGGAAAATTTCTGTGGTTTCTCTTGGACAATAAATCACAGTGTTGTGAACATTCTAGTAGTTTAATGCTCGTAAATAAAGGCGTGAGAGGCCACAGAAAACAAAGATGCAATTTTCTTTTTTGCCACTCGAGTTCACAGACCCCTTGAATTCTATCCACAGACCCTGCCACCCTCTGTGTCGTATTTCCCTCTGCTTGGGGACAGTGCTTTCCTGTGGGCTAAGGCCCAAGAGTGGCCTGTGGTCTCCGTGGCCATATGGTCCCCAAGTCAAGCTCGTGTAGGCACAGCCTTTACTTCCCCAAGAAACCACTTCTAATCCAGGCCTGGACTTTGAGGAAGAAATTCCAGGGGTGGCCAGATCGGGACACGCTATGACGAGTGTGTAGCTGTGTGTGGATTCAATCACTCAGACATGGAGCAGAGAACTTGGCTCCTCTCTTCTCCAGTCCCTGGGCCCCTGGAGGCTTCCTCTTTCTTGACTTCCCAGCTAACAACACTAGAACCCTGTGGTCTCTCTATTGCAGTGTCATCTGCATTACTTGGGAGCTTGTTAGAAATGCAGAAGCTTGGGGCTCCAGCCCAGATCCACTGAACCCAAACCTGAAATTTTACAAGTTCCTCAGGTGATTTGTATGTACATGAACCTTGCACTAGAAGATTCCTGAGAAGATGTAAAGATGCTTGGAGACCTGACAGGCCCAGTGACTTTGCCTGGCTAGAACCCAAGACCCTGGTATTGTGGGGTTTTGTCATGTGACATGGGCTACCAGGAAGACAAGCATGAGCTATTCTTTTTTTCTATTTTTTTTTTTAGTATAATTGACACAAAATGTTACATTAGTTTCAGGTGTACAACACAGTGATTCAACAAGTTTATACATTATGCTGTGCTCACCACAGTGTAGTTAACTATGATCACCATACAACTCTATGAAAATATCATTGACTATATTCCTAGGACTTACTCATTCCATAACTGGAAGTCTGTATCTCCCATTCACCTTCACCCATTTTGTCCATCCCCCCCATCCCCTCCCCTCTAGAAACCATCAGTTTGTTCTCTATATTTATAGGTCTGATTCTGCTTTTTGTTCGTTTATTCATTTGGTTTTGGTTGTTGTTGTTTTTAGATTCCACATATGAGTGAAATCATATCACATTTGTCTTTCTCAGTCTGACTTATTTCACTTGGCATAATACCCTCTAGGTGCATCTATATTGTCACAATGGGCATGATCTCATTCTTTTTTATGGCTGTGTAAAATTTTTATGGCGAGTGTGTGTGTGTGTGTGTGTGTGTATGTGTGTGTCACGTCTCCCTTATCCATTCATCTATCAAAGGACACTTAGGTTGCTTCCATTATAAATAATACAATAAACATAAGGGTGAATAACTTTTTGGATAAGTGTTTTCATTTTCTTTGGGTAATTACTCAATAATGGAATTATTGGATCATATGGTATTCCTATTTTTAATCTTCTGAGGAACTCCATATTCTTTTCCACAGTGGCTACACCAATTTAGATTCCCACAAACAATGCACAAGGGTTCCTTTTTCTCCACATCCTCACCAACACTTGTTACTTCTTGTCTTTTTGATTTTAGCCATTCTGATAGGTGTGAGGTGATACCTCATTGTGGTTCTGATTTCCATTTCTTTGATAGCATGGCCTATTCCGAATGTCAATGCAAATAGGGCTCGTGGACAAGATGGCACCCAGAACCTCTCCTTCTATCCATCGTGGTCATGGGGGAAGGATGGAACCAGGAGGAAATGGGAGATGACCAGACAAGTTAAAGTTGGGGCTTCTATAAAAGGGCTCTTCTCTGATTTGGCCTTGGACCAGGATACTGTGAGAGTCTCATGGCACAGGTAATGTCAGGGGTGCCCCTGAAATCTCCCAAAACCCAAGACCCTCCCAGCCACATGGTCCATGCCTTATGCAGCATTATATTATTTATTCCAAGACCCTGAGTCTACGGCTTCAAAGGTGATGAGCCCCAGTAGCCACAGATGAGACCACAAAAGGGTTCCTGCAGCCACGTGCCATGCCCAGTGGACACACTGACCACAAATGAAGCAGTATTCACGGACTAGTGTGGGGACCCTCTGATCACAACCTAAAGCAAAGGGAAAGCAGCAGCCCCCAAAGTTCTTACGGTTTCAAAATATACATTTAGCAGAAGAGGAAAACAAGGTAGAAGTTGTGGGCACCCAGCACCGGGCCTGCTGCTTACCTTTGTCAGGGTTATTCAGCTGGAAGATATCGGGGTGCTCGGGGTCGTCAGGCAGCTGCACCATCCAGCCCACGACAGAGACTTTTTTGCCGGGTGTGGATTTATACTGGGGAAGAACAACAGTATAACCAGGAGGCCCATGCCCTCCATTCCCCGAGGAAGCTGAGCTGGGCCTTCCCACCCTCGCCACCTCCCCTGCTTTCCCCCCCTCCCCCCCCGCCCCCGCCAGGTCATACTATCTGAAGTCCCAGCATGCAGAGTCCTTTCATGGGACTTACGTGTTTTCTGTCTGTGCCCCGCAAGGACTTGGCTCCGTAGTACAGGAGAGTGGATCCCGAGAGTATGACCCAGTACCTGGTCCATGAGGACAGCTACAGAGGAAGGGGAAGCAGAGTGGCAACGCTGCACGTGGTGGGGGTGGAGTCCCCCCTCCCTGCCCGATTACAGACCCGGTCATGTGGCTGGAATGGTGTCCCCTCCCTCCCAATCAAGGCCAGTGCAGGCCTCATCTCTTCCCAGCCCCTCACGCATCAATGTCACTTCCACCCCGGGCCTGGAGGTGGGAGACCTTCCGCATCAGTGCCTCTGAGCTCTGAGCCCTAAGCCCGGCCTCCTCTCTCTGGCTCCTTTACTCCGAGAGCCTTTCATTTTTTTCACCTTGTTTAAGGCAGTGTCAAGGCTTAATTTCTATGTGTCCAGGTGACTTGGGTCCAAGAAGGTCCTGGGGAAAAACATGTTTAAAACACAGACATGCTAAACCACAGCCTAGGCGAACCATAATATCTGCACTGGGGTGCTCGGGCTGAGACTGAATGGCAGCACGTGGGAAGTCTGTAGGGTTAGAAGGGGGAAAAGCCAACAGGGCAGAGCTATAGGTATTCTTTCTGTTTCTCCAGGCGAGAAGGCTGGGATTCTCTCTTCAGGGGGCTCTGCTCCTTGGTTTAGGGAAAATCACTTCGACGAGCCTTTTGGTTTGCAAAGGCGAAGCAAGAATCCTCTCCTGAAGGGAACAAGGTTGAGTGTAGCGAGGCAGACCGTTCTGCATCACAGCCGACAGGACCCTTCTCCATGCCGGATGGGGCGCCAGCGCTGGCCATAGTGAAAGCACTAGCTTTCAGACGTGTTTGATGACACCCACATGTGTGTGTAACACACATGCACATACATGTCGAACTGAAAGAAGTTTCATGAAACAATACTTACCTTTATTATATGGAACACTGACATTTTCCATTCTGTTCTATTCTGCTCACAAATACCGGTCATGACCCACTGGACTGATTTAATCACTCACTACTGGGCCAACCAGCATTTGGGAAAACTCTGCTAGTGGGACACTGTCTCGCCCTGGCTCAGAATGACCGAGGCCTGAACTCTGAGCATGGGAGAGAAGCAGGCAGGTCCATACAACAGGCCAGATCTAGGGCCCCATGTCACAGAATGCTCTGTGATAATCTGGGCCCAAGGGACAAAGTTGCGGCCCAGGGCTGGGGTGAAGACGCTTCTTACCCACGAGCCACCTGGCACCTGCAGACAGGGTAGCCTCTGGAAGTGACAGCTGGGCTGGCGCCCTGGCAGCTTCACGGTGGGCACAGGCAGGAGGGGGCTCCATGGGCAGTGGACAGGGCAAGCAGGGGCCAGAGCAGGAGCAGGAGGGCAGAGCAGACACTGCCTCGAGGTGCAGCCCACGGGCCGTTTGCAAGAAACCCTTGCATGGATGCTCCATGGTAACAGTACAGGGGTCTTTGCCTGCAGCTGAGGCCCTGCCATGGGTGGAGGTCATGGAGCCAGTGACATGTGGGTCCAGCACAGGTGACGCAGGAACTAGTGGTAGAGCCTCAAAGGCCTCCAGATGATGCTGCCACGGGGAGAGAGGGCATCTGCAGCTGGGGACATGACGGAGGCTGTGTCGACCCTCTCAGGGGGAGTTCCAGCCCAACGCCCAGGGGTCTGCAGGCTTCCACTCGCCCTCGTCAGAGCTCTGGCTCACCGCGTGCTCGCTGTGTGCATGGCTGTGCATGTGACAGTCTTGCTGAGTTCTCGACGACATAGGCACTATTTTATCCCAGTTTACAGATGTGGAAAGTGAGGCCCTTGCCCACTCAGTAGCACAGCCAGGGTCGGAGCCCAGGGCCCTCCCTGATGCCCCTGCTGCCTCTGGACGGAGGTGGGTCCGCACTTACCGCAGGTCTCCGTCCTTCCTTGAGCAGAGTTTTCCTCCTCAGAGGACCCTCCATGGTGGGCACTGCAGCCGAGCTCCCCAGCGTACAGATGCACGGGCCCGTGGGGCTGCGGGGAGACCACCAGTCAGACACTGCCCTGGAAGAGCCCCGGTCAGGCACCCTCTCCCTCACAGCTCCCCACTGCCAAGTCCATGATGCGGTGCCAGGCCAGAGGACTCAACAAGGTCGGGGCAGGTGGCCCTGGGCTGGCCACAGCTAGAAACTTTCACCTCCCTCACCTTTCGGGGCACCTCGAGGCCCGAGGCTTGGTGACAGAGCTCCTCATAGCCCAGGCACCAGCAGCACGGCCAACCTGCTCCTGACCTCTGCGGCGGCTTCCTCCTGGCCCTCCCTGTGGTCTCGCCCTCCTCTCCACCTGGGGAGCCTGGGGCCCGTGCGGCCCCTCCTCATGTTGGCAGCAGCCTGGAGGAGCAGCGGGCGCTAGCGGGAGGTGGCGGGGGGAGCGAGAAGAGAAGTGGGGCCAAGCCCGGCGCCTTTGCCTCAGGGCTTTGGGCGCCACCTACAGGTAAAGACAGCCAAGTGCAGCACTGGCCTGGACCTGCCCTGAGGCTCTGGATGGCTTCGGCTCACTGAGGAGGTGCCTCCCACAGGCATCTCCCTCAACTTGGCGCCCCTCCTCAAGCTGCTCTTCCTCCACATGTGGGTGAACGGTACCACCATCCACCCCTGCAACCTACTCAATCCCAAGGATGCACTGCTGATCCCAAGTCCTACATATGCCTGACTGCCCCTCTCGGCCATCCCACTCCCCCTACCTGAGGCCAGACTTGCTCTTCCTTTGGGCAACTGCCAGATGCTCTCCCCTGGCCTCCCTGAGGCCACTCTTGCCTTCCTCCTGCACGCTCTCCAGCTCTCCATGCCACGGCCAGGATGACCCGGTCATGCCACTGTCTGTCACCCCTCCACCCCAAACCCCCACCCCCACCTCGCCAGCCTCATCCCCACCCCTCCCCTGTCTCAGTCCCCAAGCCACCCTGCTCTTCCTGCCTCTCCCTTTGGCTTGAGGTGCTCTTATTATCCCTACACCTCCCCTCCCTGTATTTGTTTTTTTTTTTTTTAAGATTTTATTTATTTATTCATGAGAGAGAGAGGGAGGGAGGGGGAGAGAGAGAGAGAGAGAGAGAAGCAGAGGGAGAAGCAGGCTCCCAAGGAGCAGGGAGCCCGATGCGGGACTCGATCCCAGGACCCTGGGATCATGACCTGAGCCGAAGGCAGACGCTTAACCATCTGAGCCACCCAGGCGCCCTCCTCTCCCTGTATTTGGTTCATTCCTATCACTCTTCCAGTCCTTTCTCCGGAGAGGCCTTCCCTGCTCTCCCCTAGCAGAAGACCCCACCTCCTCTCTGGGACCATCAGGGATCTGGGATTATCGGTCCAGTCTCTGTCTCTCCTGTGGCAGTAGCCTCTTGGACTCTGGCTCATCCAGCAGCCTCGAGCACAGCGCTCTTGTCATCCAACAAACAGCCTAGAGCTAGTTGTCAAGCAAACGAGCACACAAACAAATGAATACCTGTAGACGCAGCTCCGGGTTCTGGGAGAATTCCGAACTGGAACCCGCCAGTTGGGCCCTAGCGTGGCATAGAGACGTCCCCTGCTTCAGAGGAAAAGGGGTGAACTTTAGCAACAGCTGGGAACAACCTGACACTCGGAGGAAGCAAGGGCATCCCAGACTGTGGGCATTAGCTCAGGAGGCTCCAACCCCAGCTCTTCCTGCACCTCCTATGTCACATTGCAGACACATCTGGGGCACATCTGGAGCTGCCAGGTCAGTGAACACGACGCCCCCAGAGGCTCCATCAGTGTCAGGGGGTGACTAAAATCAGGGCACACCCACTGACCCAATGTGAAGCTGACATGTTTAATAGAAAATGCCGTCCAGCCCAAACAGGCCATGGTAAATCCAATTACAAGGGCACAGAGAACTGAGGGCAGTCTTGCATGTTGGGCCCGGGTTGGGGGGGGGGGCGTGTGCACCGTCCCCATTCACCAGGGCACAGCTGAATTCCTCTGTTTGCCGTGGCCTCTCCCCCGGACAGCCTCCTCTGCTGGCCCCCGCCGGGTACCTGCCATCTCCCTGCAGGCTGCTCCTCTGGCTTCTCTCCCACCTGGCGTCCCCAGCAGGGAGCCTTTGCAGGGAAAGGTAACAGCTTCCAGAGTGAGCAGAAGTTTAACCTATTTGGGGGAGAGGCTTCTGTCTTTCTGTCTCCTCTTCACCTTCTCCTCTTTTAGCAGGATGATTTCCTGTGTCCACGTGGTCCTCAACCACCTGCTCACCCCTGCAGCATGGTCCCCCCCAGGCCGGCGCTTTCCTGGCCCTTTGGCCAAACAGGGATATAACCCAATTTATAAGGTCAGACAAGGTCAAGACTGCCTTTGCGGTTCCCTGCGGCCAGTCCTAGGTTGCTGCATGGACACCTGGCGGCGGGGGGGGGGGCACACGCTCATTCATGGCAGCAGGTCCGTCATAGCATAAGTGAGCTCAGGTGTCTCTGAGGGGAGGGACGCGTGGCTCCCTTTCCCTCGGTCCTCCACTTGAGAAGGAACTGTTCTTGATGACCATCTTGGGTCTGTTGTACAGAAGCCCAAATTCAGGGCTGGTGGGAGTCTGATGGCCATCTAGGCCAGCTGCCCATCGGCCCTTCCTCTTTAGGTACATCCTCAGATGTAACAGATCTCCGCCTTTCCCCAGCACACCTGGGTGACGATGATGGTCACAGGCTGACCCCACCCACACCACAAGCCATGGCGCAGATGAGGCCCTGGCATGCCCAACTCCCAGCCCACAGGCCGGACTGCCTCCTCCCTCCCCTCCATTCAGAAAGAGGCTTGCAATGCAGTGAGTGAGCGGGACATGACTAATCTGCTCTAATTTATGAAAAGCTCCAGGATTTCCACCGTTACCGGAACGCTGCTGAGTACCTCATAACATGGTATAACCCCGTGCTGACGCAGGCTGCTCGGAGCGCTCACGACGGACTGCCTCCAGGTTGCTTTCCTCCCCAGCCATTACCAGAGATTTCTTATGAGTCGGGGCAGGGTCCGACAGCAAACCGTTCTGCGATGACATCCCTTGTGCCCAGGGGACGTCTCCTCGTTTGATCTGATTCCTGCTCTGAGTTGCCACCTGTCTGGAGTCTGAGATGGAGCCTCCCTTTCCAGAGCTGGGTCCTCCGGTCCCTTCTTCTCCACCTTTCTTCTTGTCCGTTTGCCCTGGTGCCCAAGGATAAGGTGCAACGACAGTGGGCTGTCCTCAGTGTCCACCATCGGGGCATGTGGTTGGCGCTGCTACCTTCCCTCCGTCCTTCTCTCCTTCCTGAGAGAGTCCACGGCTGCACGCTCAACAGATGTTTGCATGACTGACACTTGTCAACAGAGAGCTTTAAATCAGCATCTTCCAACCTGCCTGGGCTTTTCGGCAGCCTTTCTCCACGTGGGCTGCCCCCCAGTGCACTGGGCTGGTGGGGGGATCACTAGTGAGTGAGGGCTCACATGCGCAAGGCCGCAACACTCATCATCTCACTGGAGCTTTATTTAAACACAATATCTTCCCCAGAATAGGGAAACTGAGGCTCAGTGATGGGAAGACACTTGACCAAGGCACGAGCCCAGTAAGCCAGGATTTGACCCCTGTTCTGACTCTACTGCCCAGGCTCCTCCCACGCCATTCAGGGTCGCAGGGAGGCTGCCCCGGGGACTGGGTCTACCCTGTGGGTGGCTTCCGGACATTGTCCTCTCAGAGGCACCACTCCTTTCAGGTCTCTGCTGCAGCTCACACTGGTCGGGCTTTGTCAGTGTCTGTGAGACTGGAGGGGCCCAGATCTCCTGGGACGGGACCATCCCTCGGGGCCCTCGGTCCTTGGTCTCTGCACTGGAGTAAACTTGCGGTGGTTCTGACTGACTGGCACTTCAGAGCAGTTGCCATTTATCAACTGCTGACCATGAGACCCACCGCTCCTCCCACCTCTGTGAGGGGCACCATTCCCACCCTGTTTTAGATGAGGAGACAGAGGCTCAGGGAGGTGAAGCCACGCATCCCACCGCACTGGCCTGTCATTAGGGATGGAGACGCAAGTATTCACAAAGGGAAGCTGACTTTCCTGTGTGAGCAGAGGGCCTATGTCTGTCAAGCTGCTCCCAGTGGGGAAGTCAGGACCTGCTTCCCTGGAACCTGGGGGAGTGACCCTGGCCTTGAAGGTCAGCATAATGGTGACTTTTCCCCAAGGCCAGCTTTCAGAATAGTCAGGGTTGTGGTGGCCAGCCTTCCTCCCCAGGTGAGCCCTGCAGGGCCGGAGGAGGGTTGTGGCGGTTGGGGTGACTGTGGCTGGACCCAAGCAGGCTAGAATCAGCACAGAAGAGCCAAGATCTTCAGCCACTGGAACCAATCTGATCATGGCCCTGCTTTGAGAAGATTTGTTATTTGAATGTTCAGGGCCACAAATGCAAAATGAATGGGCAGTGGTACCCGGTAAACTCAGAAATCAGGGGATTTCTTGGACTGACATGGGGGTTCCCACTCCAGAACCATGGACACCTTTCCCAGCATGATGCTGGGAGCAGAATGTGGCTGAATGGAATGTATCCCAGGAAGGCCATTTTATTGTTTCCTCTCAAGGATGGATCTTGGGCAGTGGTGGGGAGGAGGGATGCAGCAGGCAACCCTACTCATGGGAAGTCTGGTCTGAGGAAGATGTAGGCTGGCAGCCAAGTAGAACACTTCAGTCCCAAATGGTGTACAAAATGATGATGATGATGGTGGTGGTGGTGGTGGTGGTGCTGATGGTGATAAGGATAAGGATGGGCTGACAAGAATGATGGTATGGCGATGATGATGGCGTGATGGAGATGATGGCGATGATGATGGCGTGATGGAGATGATGGGGATGATGGGGTGATGGGGATGACGGAGATGGTACGGAGGGGATGATGTAGATGATGGCGATGATGATGGCGTGATGGAGATGATGGGGATGATGGGGTGATGGGGATGACGGAGATGGTACGGAGGGGATGATGTAGATGATGGGGATGACGGGGATGGTAAGGAGG